CACATGGCTCGCTTACCAATGGCGGTTGCACAACTTTTGCGATAGCGCATAAGAAATTCGAACGAGAGCGGCGTGGCGATGAGCTAGGCCCTCCTGTCAGTTAATTTCACTTCAAGAACTCCTATTATTTTTTGTCGGCAAAAAATAATAGGAGTTCTTGAAGTGAACCAAAAAATCGGCATCACTGAACGAAGGTGTTCTATTCACTTAATCCAATCAAATTTTATATCTTACTTCTGACTCCACCATCTTTTTTTCTTCGGGGATTGTCGTCCAATTACAGCAAAGATGTTAAGGCAGGTGATAGGTGATGTGTGTTCTTGGAAATTCTAGGGAAGACATCACCATGCCTTGATTGGAAAAAAAAAAGGAATTCTATGGGTACTGGCAGATCAAGTGGTTGACAAATGCACAATGTGTTCAGAACAACGATTCCTTGCAAACTAAAAAAGTACACCGAAAAATCATAGATCCGGATTAGTTGTTAGTCCCGAAACGGATTATATGATAAACGTAATACTACCATAAGTTTGAATGTACATCACAACAATGTTAAACAACTTTTTGAACTTGTCAACAGGCAAATTCAATGCAAGTTTATTTATATTTTACATATTAAAGAAGGAAGATTTAAAGGAGGTCGATGATTTTCGCAAATGCTACAAATTATCTCGTAAAATTTAACCTCTCGGCGAAGATACAAGGGAATGATTAAAATTTGACGAGGAATCAGTCTGAAATGTTGGATTGAATTCTTCACTCCACATTTGCAAGGTCTTCTCTTAAAGTTTTTTACTACTAAAAATAGCGTACGCGATTCTTCGATCATCGTTGGAAATCTACATCTTCCATCAAAGGATGACACAAAGTTTCTATATGAGTTTTCAATGGCTGTTGAAAAAATGAGAGATTATTGTAGATTCTAAAACATTGCAGAACTTGTTTCTAATTCCCTTCAAAGAATCATTTTACAGATAGGAACAAAAATGTGAAATCAAAGATTCGAATCGCTTACAATAATGAATATCTCATTATAAATGTATATAACTCGAAGGCTGAACACTAAGATAGGGGAAGAGGTAGCTCTT